GTGAAGAAGCGTTTTCCCAGAGTGTAAACACAGCCCTATAACCAGCGGTATAAATCTGAATACAGAACCAACTGTCAACACGTGTGGGAGTGTTCTCACCTTTGTGAACAGCTGAAGATCTAAAAGTTGAATCAAAGTATCTGAGGCTAGCCTTGAATTGACTGCGTAGCTAAAGCTGGCCCTGAACTCCTGATCCTCCTGCCTCTACCTCCTGAGTGCTGAGATTATAGTACCTGCCACCCATCCAGCTCAGCTTTGCATCCAGTTTTGTGTCTCACACAGAAAACCTTCCCTTTCTCTTTTTTTTTTTTGGTAAAAAACAGGATGTTGGGGCTGGAGAGATGGCTCAGCAGTTAAGAGCACTGACTGCTCTTGCAGAGGACCTGGGTTCAATTCCCAGCACCCACATGGTGGCTACAAACCGTCCTTAACTCCAGTTCCAGGGGAATCCGAAGCTCTCTTCTGACCTCTGCGGCATTGCATAACACGGGTGCACTCACATACATGCAGGCAATACACTCAAACACATATGAGTTCAAGGCCAGACTGGTCTACATAGTGAGTTCCAGGACAGCTGGGGCTACACGGAGACCCTGTCTTAAAAAGGCAAAACAAACAAACAAAAAACCCCAGGATGTCATGTAGACCAGGCTGGCCTTGAATGAGTCTCTGTAGCCAAGTCTGGCCTGGAAACACTGATCCTCCTGCCTCCCCCTGCCAAGTTCAAGAATGATGGGTGTGGGAGACCATGCAGGGCCCTACTCTGACGTTCCGCATGGCGGTCAGTTCCACTCCTGAACACAGCCTCTGTCATTACCCACCTACAACCCACCAGCTGCCTAGACCTTTCAGTGCCCTGAATGGCTTTCTACTTCCAAAGTGGAAATCGGGCCCTTCGAGTTGTGGGGCTGCCCAGTACAGGGGAGCTGCTGGTTACCCCACCTCAAGTTCCTTTCCAGCTCTGCTGCCACCCGGGGAGCCGCAGTCTGAATGGCATCCTGAATGCTGTGCAGGTTCCACTGGGTCCTTAGGAGGGCATCGTCCAGAGTGAAGAGCCCGTCACGCGTGCGCCGTACTTGCATGCAGACAGCGGTGGTCTTCAGCTCCAGGCCAATTTCATGCACCAGCTTCCTCAGCTGCTGCTGTGTCTCATGCATACACTGCACCTCTGCCAGGGACACAATGACAAACGTGACCGTGAGGAACACAGCGGTGGGGCTGTCTGACCCACATGCCTTGGACAACCCCCATGCACAGCATCCTTCAGGAGCTACTTCTGCTGTTAGCTGTGGTCATGCAGAATGCAGCACATGGGCCAGCTCCATGGGGACCCAGGCATCCATGGGAGGATGGAGATCTCAGGTCAGAAGCCACCATTCCAGCCCCAGCTGACCCGTGGGCAGGCTGGAGTTGGTTTACTCATCTAACAATGGGAGTGAAGAGCAAAGAGGTCACTCACACAGGGCTTAGCATCGGGGGCTCAGGTGGCACTGAGGAGAGGACAACAGAACACAGAATAAAGAAGCTTGGGGTAGAGCTGGACAAGACAGGGCGGTGACAGTGGCATCTGAAAGGTCTACGACACTGCCAAACAACTCTGAACATGAGCTGCTAGATACGAGCTTTGTTTTTTAAGGGTTACCTTAAAGGATGACTTGGCAGGAGCCAGGACCCAGAACCCAAAAGCAGCCTTTGTTCTATGACTCTGGGTTAGGCCAAGCCTGGGCCTGGTGGGGAGAAGCTGCCTGAGGTCATGACTAGCTAATCAGAGCTGGTGTATGCTAGCTTCAGCCTAGCCAGAAAACAGCAGCCTCTGGCAGAACACACTACTGTGAGCCCAAAACTCGGGTCCCATCGCACCACTCCCACTTCCTGGTGACCTATACCTATGAGGAACTCCGGAGGTGCAAAGTACAGGCAGCGGATGCCAGTGATGAGCATTGGAGACTTGTTCATGGGCCGGATCGTGCCTTGCACAGCCATCTCATATGCCTCCTGGGACTTCAGATCCAGGTTGGAGTACCTGGGGGGCAGGAGGGCCAAAACTGGAGGCTGGCATGGGAGGCCCTTCCACACCACGGAAGGGTGTGTCCTCGGTGTTCTCTACGGGGAATCTGCCATCCCTCACTCTTCCAAGTCACCTTCAGAGCATCCTCTGCCCACGGCCCTGGCTACACCTGTCATCAGCTAAGGCCTCCTGACCCCTCTGTGTTTCCTGTATCTGTTGCCTCAGCTTGGACACCCTCAGTTTAACCCCAAGGGACCTCAATGCCATGCCTAATCCAGGTCCCTTCCCATAGACTCACAGCCCTACTGGCCATGGGTGTCCTCCTGCTCCCCTCTCTCCTGTGCTTACCTTATCCTGTCCTCCCTGCTTCCTAATCCACTCCAACTACTTGCTCTTCTCTGCTGCCTTCAGGCCTTGCTCAGTGGGCACAGACCACCAACGCTTTACAACCATCCACGATGCCCACTGCCCTTCCTCCTACGCCCGCCCTTCCCTCCCCTGGCCCCTGCTTCTGAACACACCTTGCTGTTTTGGTCCTGGTACTCTGATTACTGGTATAAGACACAGGGCCTGGCTCCTGCTCATCCTGTAACCACTATCGCTTTACAACCATCCACGATGCCCACTGCCCTTCCTCCTACGCCCGCCCTTCCCTCCCCTGGCCCCTGCTTCTGAACACACCTTGCTGTTTTGGTCCTGGTACTCTGATTACTGGTATAAGACACAGGGCCTGGCTCCTGCTCATCCTGTAACCACTATTCCCTGGGCCTGCTTTACAACCATCCACGATGCCCACTGCCCTTCCTCCCACGCCCGCCCTTCCCTCCCCTGGCCCCTGCTTCTGAACACACCTTGCTATTTTGGTCCTGTTACTGGTATAAGACACAGGGCCTGGCTCCTGCTCATCCTGTAACCACTATTCCCTGGGCCATTTCTGATCCCAGGAGGCTCTGCTCCCAAGTGGCTGTCCTGCCTATGGCCCCTGCCTAGAATATTGTGCTCAGGTACCTGCTTGACTCCTCGAACTCCTTAGCACACCTGTAAGGCAGGGGCTTTCTCTGTCCCCTTTACAGTCAGCTGGCTAGGGCTTCCCGGAGGCCATGCGGCTGATGCCTGGGAGAGTCAGGAGGCCCAACTGGCCTAGCAGGAGGGCCCCAGCTCTCAGCTCCTAGGTGATCCCACCACCTCCTCCTGCCCCCAACCCTATGCATTGATAGCAGGGATTCTTGGTTTTCTCTCCAGCAGTGGGAGTGCTTGGGCCCACTTACGTCACCAGGGCCTTCTGGTGGGAGCCTTGGATCACAGCCAGGATCCGGTCCAGCTTCTCTCTGGTTACATGACCTGAACAGGCATGGGGTAGGGGCAGGAGGTCAGTGCACAGGTGTCCCCTGAGGACAGACCAAGCACCTTTCCCCTAAAGCAGCCCTATTCTTGCAAATGATCAGAGCACCAATTTAGGGGATTTCATAGAAAGGTGAGTCTGTTCAGAGTCCTTTAGAAGTCTCAATAGGGACTGGAGAGATGGCTCAGCAGTTAAGACCAAGTTTATTTCCCAGCACCCATGTCAGGTGACTCATGGGTCCAACAGCCTCTTCTGGTCTTTGCAATACCCTTAGCCAAACGCACATACCCACACGTACATGCAGAAAATTTTTTAGTTTTTAAGTAAATAAAGCTGGATGTGGTTAGTGCATGCCTATGGTTCCAACACTTGAGAGGCTGAGGCAGAACGGTTATGAGTTGAAGGCCTGAGCTACATAGCAAGATGCTGTAACACTGACAAGTAAATAAGTAAATCAATAAATTATTTATTTATTATTTGGTGTGGTGGTACACATCTTTAATCTCAGTACTCAGGAGGCAGAGGCAGGTGGATCTCTGTGAGATCAAGACCAGCCTGGTCTACACAGCGAGTTCCTGGCCATCCAGGGCTACATTGTAAGACCTTGTCTCAATAACTAAAAGTTGATAAAAACCAGACCCTCTTCTCACCAAGACACACAGAAATTTAGCATCTGAAAGACACCTTCCAGTGGCTCACACATTCTCTGAAGTCATCATATTCCAGGTAAAGAAGAGCTTCCCCCGGAAATTAAGGTCAAAGACTTAAAGTCATTTGGGCCATCCAGGGCTACATTGTAAGACCTTGTCTCAATAACTAAAAGTTGATAAAAACCAGACCCTCTTCTCACCAAGACACACAGAAATTTAGCATCTGAAAGACACCTTCCAGTGGCTCACACATTCTCTGAAGTCATCATATTCCAGGTAAAGAAGAGCTTCCCCCGGAAATTAAGGTCAAAGACTTAAAGTCATTTGCCCAGGATTCTAACCCAGGTCTTTGGAGTCTTGACCTGGGGTTTTCTATGCCAGTAGCCCTGAAGGGAGGGCACCACCTGCCCAGAGGCAGCAAGAGGCAGGAGTGCTCTGCCCCCAGGACCCTGAGGGATTACAGCAACTAAGCCTGGGGACTTTCACAAACTGCCAGAAAGCTGCGATCCCTTGGGCACAGTGAAGTCAGATGCCAACTTCTAGTTGCAATGCTGAAGCTCAGAGAACAACGTGGGGCCTTAGGACTCACCAGCTGTCTCCTCCTCCCTCCGTAGCTGCACTGAACTGCCGAATCACTTGGAATTTACCTGCCTCTGCCTCTTCCGCCACTGACAAGCAGTGGATCATGAGGCTGCTTGCTCCTGGCACAGCCACTTGATACCTCCTTCCAACACCTGAGGTACTTTGACTTTCACCCTACTTTTCAGTGAAGCAGTTGATAGATGATGAAGAGCTGGGAACTTAGCCTGGTGGTAGAACTTAACTAGCAAACACAAAGTCCCAAGTTTGGTTTCCAGTACTGAAATAAAAAAAATGATACATGACTCTTCACAATTCTAGGTTAGGGGCTGAAGAGATGGCCCAGTGGTTAAGAACACTGATTGTTCTTGCAGAAGACCTGGGTTTGAATCCCAGCATGCACATGGCAGTTAACAACTGTCTGTAACTCCAGTTCCAGGGGATCCAACAGCCTCTTCAGTCTTCCATGGGCACTGCATGACACAGGTGCACTTACATGTGGGCATAACACTCATACACATAAAATAAAAATAATAAATATTAAAAAAAAAAACAAAAAAAACTGGCGGCCTAGTGGG